GGAGAGGGAGGGAGGGTTTTGTAGGGCCAGGAAGGAGGGGCGGACCTGGTTGCATACTGCGCATCGACGCGAACTTTGTGGCGTCTGAGACCCTCTAAAACGCCTGCAAGGACCGGAGTTGACAGGCGATGAAGCAGGAGCAAATCAGGAAACACCTTGTAGGACATCGCCGAGGTCCACATTCGTTCCAAACCCTCTGCACTATCATGGCATTGACAGGGAGAAGGAAGGAAAAGAAGGAGAAATCTCACTTTCTTCTTGAAGAGTGAGTCCATGTAGATACGAAAACCTTGAGAGATCACATGAGGCGGATTTTCTTGAATGATCGCGTTATCTTCTCACCTTCAACATCAGCATAAGGTTGCTCGTGAGCAAAGTTGAGGAGATGCGTCGCCGCCCTGCCTTGACATCAGCGCAATGCAATGACAGCAGAAAGGTTCCTACCGCAACCCGTCGCCAGCCCCCATGGCCTTGAACAACCCTATGAAGTTGTCCTATTTGACCCGGTCAAACGTCAGTCTCAAGATCGTCCCTTCTTACTTGCTCTGATGACGTCATGACGTCGACCATCCCCGCGTCGATCAGCACCAGCGTGGGAGGTTCACCACTGTTAGAGTCCCATCAGCAACGAGAGACAGCGAAGAAACTACTGATCACCTCTTCTCCTTGAGGATTATGTTTCCAGGCTATACCAAGGAAGTGCCGTTAATGTAGACAAGCACGCTTGGCTCACTTACATGCATGTCAGCGTGTATGAAGTTATCGGCGAGCAACATCTTGGTTTTGACTCGTCAGCTCATCGCTCGCAACAAGACAAACAAGAAAACCTGCAAATATGTCTCCTTGCCCGTCTGCACAACGTGAGTCGCATGTTGCTGCGCCAGTGGTTGCAGCTAGGACAACAGTGTGAGTCGATTCCAACCACAACTCGACACTGACTTCATGCTTTGTAACTTGTTCCACAACCTGCACAGACCACACGCATCAATCACAGGGCAGACAGGCTGAGCAACTTCACTCACGAGCTCCGTCAAGTCTGGCGTCTTCTCGGGGAAGTTGCCAGAGACTCTCCTGACAAACTTGCGCGGAGGCAAGTTTACAGTATCGCTCTGTGTAAGGTTGGCAGCCTGAAGGGCGTCAGAGGGTTGGCAAGGATCCTTGTTGTGCCATCTACCTTGGCTGCTCTCTCTGCAGCTGCTGTCACTGCGGCGACACAGTAGGAAGCGACAGAATGTCCTGGTGAGAAACTTAAAGGAAAGTGCAGATGATAATGACGATTCCGATTCACTCACCTGATTCAAAGGACTCGATTAGGATTTCTGGACTAGCGTGCAATCCTGTCAAGGAAGTGAGGTGAGCGTAGAATGCACCAGGTCCCATTCTTACCATCTCGTGGAATCGGGAAGGAGGCTGTGATGTGAGGACACGCTCTGAAGTTTGTCTGTATGTACAGCTCAGTCTCCACAACTTTGAGAATTGTTCAAGGACTTTGAATCTCTCCAGGTTGATTGCTTCGAAGTCCAACCTGACCTGAAAGCAAGTTCACAAGACAGCAGAAGACGAGGAAGGGAAGCATCAGTCTTGCAAGAACAACTTTAACAACTTTCCACGGTCAACATGTTACAGCTACAGAAAAGATACCTGAGCACCCAGCGTGTGACCGAACTGGACAAGAGTCTCTTGTATTCCCATCCACTGGATGCCTGCACCCCCCGTCACAACATTGAAACATCGTTCTGGTCAGAGCACAGACCAGGGACGTAGTTGAGAAGTGAAGCTGCTGCATTCAGCAGAGCAAAGTCGAGGAGTAACCTCCCTTCCACTTCCGGGTGTCGGACCTGACCCAGCCTTGAGTGCTTCCAAGCTCTTTGGAGGGATATCGAGCTTTCACCTTGATCGCAACATACTCCTTGTCACCATGGAAACGAGCCTTGTAAACCTTGTCGCTCCGTCACGACCAGCGGACCCAGTAGAAACGAGCCTTCTTTACCTGCGCGATGCTGCCGGAGCCAATAGGATGGTCGTCGATTTCAGCAAAGATAGCCTCCAAGTTGGGAGCATCGAACGCCTGGGAACATCGTCAGTGTTCTAGTGAAATCCAGTGTCCTCGAAAAGATCAGCGTTCAAGCAAGGACAGGAGACATCTCAGTCTGAAGACTCACATCCATGAGAACTTGTCTCGTGTGCTCGAAGGAATGTGGGGGAACTGAAGCATGGAGCGCTTTCAGGTGATCGCACATTTCCTTTGGGAAGATGTCCGGCCTAGTTGCGGCCCACTGCCCCCACCTTCCCTCAAACATTAGCAACCCTCAACTTGTTGACAAGAGAGCAGACTTGATGAATGCAGCTCCAGACAGCTCCAGAGTCTTGCGAAGTAAAGAATACCTTCAGGATCGTGTGAGGATACAGCAAAAAGAAGAAGAATCACAGCGCCAAAAGAAAGATGCGTGGAGGAAAACCAGTGGGGACAAGACCGAAGACGTCACCAGAACTCCCTCATCCATTCGAAATAATAAGCTGGGATCGCAAGCGCCCCGACAGGACTGAAGATCAACACAAGCTGAAATACACAAGATCAAGGCCAGTAAAATCAACCATCTCAATCTCCACCTGGAATGCACGAGGGACAAGATCGATCAGAGGGATGTCCTTGGCATGACGCAGCTGTGAAGGGGTTCTCAACATGATTCAAACTCGCTCTTGTGAAACACACCTCTCGATCAACTTCTTCCCTTGTTATCTCCCACCTTCTACGGATTTCTGAAGGCAAAGTTTCATTCTCTCTACATATCAACAAGCAACCTACCCTCCGATCTTTGATGTGCCAGGTACGCGTAGCCGACACTGTAAGTCACGCCAGCTCCCAGCACCATCAAAGACGCTTTGAGAGCTGTCTTTGTCATAGACCTGATCCTGCAGGAAGGCATTGATACCATTGAAACACACCTCACATACATCTAGTGATCACCTTCCATTCGACTTCGGGCTGACCGTTGAAAGCAGTCTCCTTTGGATTTGACCTTGACATGGCCGACAGCCTGAAATCTCTTTCAGTGCTCGTGCACTGAGACGACGCTCAGAGCTGAGTTTGATCACCAATCACGTACAGACGAATCTGACGTTGACTCGCTGGATTTGATGTAACATTAAACGCTGCAACCTTGTTAGTTGCCTCTCAAAACCTTCTTACGCTCAGCACCATATCCCGGAAAGAGCTGCACTGTCCGTGGAGCATTATGAAAGATCTTGGACGATAACATCCCCCCAAGCATGTTGAGGTAGAGGGGAATGTCGACTTGCACCCAAGATCTCGCTGCTAACGTCCTCCCCTCACTTCGCCGGATACCTTAGCTTCGACGAGCTCTGAACTAAGAGCATCTCCACAGCTGCATGAGTCCGGGGTTACACCCACCCTCCCTTGTTTGTTCAGCGCGAAGAAGAAACACTGACTGCCAACGATTCGAAATGAGTCCACTCAAGAAAACGCCATCCCATCCAAGGGGTTCGAAATCGCTGTTGCAGCTTCACATAGTCTGGATACATGTTCCCCTCCTCTGTGGTACCTGCTCCTGAGAGAACCTCTCTTCTCCCCTGATCTAGTATCTTGTTCCTGGGGTCACCAGTGATCTCCTTGCATCAGCTGGAGCTTCTTCTCTACTGTACTCAGCTTCCCCTGCACATGAGAACAGCTGCAGTTCAACCTAGTACACCTGCTTCCTTCGCTACTTCACGCGTGCTACTTCCGATCTCTGAGTTCTTTGTTCAACCTTCCCTTCCTCTTCTTTCCAAGCTTGTCCTGTCTGATTTGTCTTGTGCCTGTCCTGTCCTGTCCTGTCCACTTTGAATCCTCTGTCCCATTTTCCTCTCCTGCCCTCTTCCCCTCTATCCCGTCTTCTACTGTCCTCCCTCCTGCTGTCCTATCTCCTTCGATCTCCATCGTCTCATTCCTGCCTTTCTCCTGCTCCCTCCTGCTCCCTGTCTCTCCTCCCCTCCTTCTGAGTCCCCCATGTAGCACCGATGCGTCCTCACACCTGGGCGGGGTTTAAAAACTATATGTAAAATCTAATAAGTATTTTTGAAACCCTCACTAATAGTTTTACTCAAGTACTCGTCATACACCGGCGATGCACATGGAGGGAAGCAGGGGAGGCAGGCGGGCAATGTGAGAATGAGAACGCGCCATGAGGAGAAATTCAAACACGACAATCAGCGGATAACATGCTCTGCATCCGTACAATGAGCATGAAGATGGAAGATAGAGATGACTGCCCTATGTGCAGGAGGGGTTCAGTCCAACAGCTTTCGAATGATTCCTCAACACGGCATCAAAGCTTGTTGATGACATGGAATCAAAGCTTTTTCAAGTTGTCGACGATTATTTTTCTGACTCCGATATGAGACCCATGCAAACATCTGCAGTGATCATTGACGCGTTGGCCTTGATCTCGTTACATTTTCTTGCAAATTGTATTACACGCTGAAATAGAGATGAACGACGCAGATGATAAATTTGCTACAAGTAGCGGGGAATCATCTGAAGCCCAGCCTGCATACAATTGACAATCGTCAAAGGGACACAGAGCTATTGCTTCTAGGCAACCTCTTTGGACAGAATGCAGAGGACTTCAAGACATGGTTTTCTTCATTACCTCACCTCGTTTGAACGAGCAGATTGTGGGAGAATGTATCGAGGTGATTTCTAGTCACACGAAGTCAACTGATGATCCACCAGCACAAGCACAAGTCATTGTTTGAGTTCATTGCATGTCGAGCAACCTTGCACTATGACGCCGTTGATGAGCTAAAAACAAACATACAAAAACATCACTCAAGGTGACTAGCGAGCTCTCACGAACCACACTTGTGACTGCTAAAATACCGTCCGTATGCCACCGGGCACGGCAATCGGATCGGACTGAAAAGACTCGTCGATAGTGAGGCTGCTGCTGGTTGGCGTCGTCGGAACTGACATCTCAAGTCCACGTGACTGCGATTTTTGACCTGACAGAGACGGGCTGAATGGTTTGATATTGTCCATTCACTGGCCTTACTTTGACTGCCATCTTGTGAGGGGAGTTGTTCGAGTCAGATTCTTGCAGGCGAATGAGTGAAAGGCTGCAAACTTTCTCAACTTGTAGAGCTCATCCGAGTGGCCAAGAGCCACAAGGATTTCATACAGCCGGGCTTTATTTTAAACGATACCTGGGAAGTTGAAAACTTTCATCATTCTAAAAGACATCTTTATCATATAGCTACGAGGCTCCGGTCATACGACATGCTTGTTAGTAAGGCTCCTCATACACAGGGTTGTGTCGCTGAAGCTACAGTGATCACAACCCAGACAGCTCATGATACTCAGTCGTCAAGTAAGAGCCGCAAGCAGATCCCGGCACACCTCAAGGTTGTGCTTCTCAACAGCCTTACGAATAATCTCAATGCCTCCTAAATCCTTGAAGCGCTCAAGGTTGTTAACGTTGCTGGCCGTCATACTCCTCAGCGCCCCGCATGCTGCCTCCTGTACCCCCGCATGCTCCCCGTGCCTCTCCGTTGCCTTCACCACCGCCTCTACCCCCCTTGCCTCCCCCGCCTTGACCTGGTTGGCAAAATGGTTCGCTGTCATATTCCACAAGGCATTGCATGCTGCCTCCTGTACCCCCGCGTGCTCCCCGTGCTGCCCCATCGCCCTCACCGCTGCCTCTACTCCTCCTGCCTCCCCTGCCTTGACCTTGTTCGCGGCGTTGCTGTACGTCATGCTCGTCAGCGCCTTGCATGCTGCCTCCTGTACCCCCGCATGCTCCCCGTGCTGCCCCATCGCCCTCACCGCCGCCTCTACCCCCCCTGCCTCCCCTGCCTTGACCTTGTTCGCCGCGTTGCTGTACGTCATGCTCGTCAGCGCCTTGCATGCTGCCTCCTGTACGCCCGCATGCTCCCCGTGCTGCCCCATCGCCCTCACCGCTGCCTCTACCCCCCCTGCCTCCCCGCCTTGACCTTGTTCGCGGCGTTGCTGGCCGTCATGCTCGTCAGCGCCCCGCATGCTGCCTCCTGTACGCCCGCATGCTCTCCGTGCTTCCCCATCGCCCTCACCGCTGCCTCTACCCCCCCTGCCTCCCCTGCCTTGACCTTGTTCGCCGCGTTGCTGTACGTCACGTTCCTGAGCGAAAAGCATGCTGCCTCCTGTACGCCCGCATGCTCCCCGTGCTGCCCCATCGCCCTCACCGCTGCCTCTACTCCTCCTGCCTCCCCCGCCTTGACCTTGTTCGCCGCGTTGCTGTACGTCATGCTCGTCAGCGCCTTGCATGCTGCCTCCTGTACCCCCGCGTGCTCCCCGTGCTGCCCCATCGCCCTCACCGCCGCCTCTACCCCCCCTGCCTCCCCTGCCTTGACCTGGTTCGCCGCGTTGCTGGCCGTCATGCTCGTCAGCGCCTTGCATGCTGCCTCCTGTACGCCCGCATGCTCTCCGTGCTTCCCCATCGCCCTCACCGCCGCCTCGATCCCTCCTGCCCTTCGTACTCTGACTCCGTTGTCGGATTTGCAATCTATGATGTTCCTCAGAGTCCGGTACGCTGCCTGCTGTACTCCGGCATCGTCTTTTCTCTCCTTCATCTCGTGTATCACAGTCTCAATCCTTCCATCGACGTCTTCCTCTGACAGGTTCGTCACGTTCTCTCCAAGCCTTCTGATTTTGACATGCCTCTCCTCCTCTGTCTCGATCTCTCTCTTTCGCTTTCGTCCATCCTCCGGCCTCTCTGGCTTATTTTCTCTTATCCTCCCCAGGGCTACCACCAGCTCTGAGAACCGCGGTCGGTCCCCCTCCCTCGTCCTCCAGCAGCTCTCCACCTCACCCCACAGCCCCTCCTCGCATCCTCCTTCTATCTCCTCTCCTTTCAGTCTACCTCCCCCGCACACGTACACGATCACCCGCTCGTCCTCCGTCATCTGGTAGTAGGGGATCTTGCCTGACGTGAGGATCTCCCAGCACGTGACCCCGAAGCTCCACACGTCGCTCTTCTCCGAGTACCGTCCTCTCTGCAGTGACTCTGGCGGCATGTACCGCACTGGCCTCGATTGTCCTGCCGCTACCGTAGCGTGAGTGCGGCGATCGAGCTCCGCTGCCAGCCCGTAGTCCGTCACCTTCACCGACGTCTTCCGCACGTCCTCCTTGTCGAAGCCGAAGAGCAGCACGTTCCTCGCCGCCAGGTCCCGGTGCACGACCCCGGTCTCTGCCAGGTGCTCCATGCCCTGCGCGATCTGCTGCATCATCACCACCTGATGCTCTCTTGTCAGCTGTCCTTCCAGCCTTTCAAACGCGTCGCTGAGCGATCCGTGCTCGGCAAACTCCGCCAGCAGCACCCGGCAGCCACCCTCCTGAGTCTGCCCCATGTACCGCACAAGCCGAGGATGCCGCCCCAGCCTCATCAGCACCCCTGCTTCTCTCTGGCCGTCTCCTTGCCTCACCTTCAGCACCGCCACCTTCAACCTCCTCGTTTCCTCTCCTCGCACTCGCACTCGGAGGTGACCCGTGTAGACGGTCTTGTTGGAGCCTGCTGAGATGAGCTGCGGGTCGATCTCCAGGTCTCCTCTGGGGATCATCAGCGCATGCTGCTCCTGCCACTCTTGGATGGCGTTGCGAAGAGCGAGGTTGGGAACGAGGTCCCTGCGGGGGAGGCGGGAGCCGGTGAGGGGGCTTGTGCGATGCTGCTGGAGCCAGGTCTCGATGAAGGATCTCTCGTACGTGTGGCCGTCGCAGGTGTTGACAGGGTCGGTCATCAACTGCATGCTGATGGGGCAGAAGAAGGAGGGAAGCGCTTGCTGCTGCTCTGCCATGGGGCTAGCTAGGTAAGAACGAGTCAAATTTGAGCAGAGGATGAGTTTGAATTTGAGCAGAGGATGAGCAGAATCCAATTTGAGCAGACAGTGACTGGTTGATGAACCTGAATGGGCATATTTGGAATTGGAGGGAAGAATTACAGGGAGCAGGGAAAACTTCCAAATTTCAGGGAGGAACCCGAAGACTCAGGCTTAGAGCCTGCCTACTCACTAAATAAAGAGTCCGGGGGCCTCCCGGGCTGAGCCTCGGACTCACTGTCACCGTTGGGCTGACCGGGCCCGGGGGCCGGTGATGGATCACATGCCAGCCGTGCCAGTCAGATAGCGCCGAGTTAACAAAACTCTCCTGTAAACCAAGAGATCGGACGTCCTTACGTGTTTGCAGGAGAGTCACTTTTGTGAGAGTTTGGCGTGACTCAGTGACTTTGGACTCAGGCTAAGTACAAGTCACTGAGTCTGACAAACTTGTATTCCGTCAAAGCACGCAGATATCACATCGACCTTAGTTGTAACAAGACAGTTTTTGCTCAAGACCGAGTTTAATGCACACAAAACCAGAATTGAGGAGCACATGAGAGATAGACTGTATGCTGGCTATGTAGGTAGTGAAAATTGAATTCTTTACTCAAAGTAGTATACCCTTTTTCATGAGTAAAATTTTACTATTGGAAATTTCAAGTCACTATCAGAATGACTCAAGTCGTTCTTCCAACATCTGCGGTACACATCAGAATAGCACGTGCGCAATGGCTGCAAAGCGTAAAGCAGATGCGAGGGCAGGAGGAGGGGCAGGAGGAGGGGCAGGAGGAGGGGCAGGAGGAGGAGGAGGAGGGAGGAACACGGGGAAAAAAGATGGGGATATCAAGCCGAAGGACATAACCAGATCGAAGAAGGCTTCCGAGCTCAGAAAAGTTGAGGAGGAGGACCCGACGGTAGAGGGCAGCGAAGAGGAGGAAGAGGATGGAGATGGGAGCTTGCCGATCAGAGACGTGAGCGAGGTAAAGAGACTGGAAGCAGAGATGAAAGAAAGCAAGAAGAACCTCAACAACGCCATGACCTTGATCGTCACCTGCGAGCGGATCATGAAGCAGAAGCTCGAGGGAGAGCAGCAAGCGGGAGCCTTGTTGAGCAGCAGTCTCCTCGCGCTGTGCAGATCCTGCTCACGTCTGATGGATACGGGAGATCTTGTGCCGCAAGGGGCTGGGCAAGACAGCAAGACTGCAAGCAGCGACGGGAAGGCAAATGGTGATGATAATGGAGAAGAGGAGAAGGGGGAGGGGAAGTCGGCAAGGGAAGTTTTCCACTCGTGGGTTCGTGGAGTGTACAGGAGGCTGGTGAAGAGGATCATTGCGTGTACGTCGCACCAGTCACCGTCCTTGCAAGCTCTTGGAATGCGAGCTGGGATGGGGCTGGTAGCAAGGGAGGCGGAGACGGCGATTAGGAATGGGTTACCGCCGCACTCGTTAACGGAAGGGCTCTTCCATGTGTTGCTGGGAAGCATGATCAGCAATGAGCATCTGTCTTATGACGTTGTGCTGAAGTTCGAAGAGAACTACTTGGACAAGTATGGAGATGTCAGGTGCTACACGTGGCGAGCCATCGGGGCGTTTGTTCGCAGCAAGGTGCTGAAGCAGAGCGAGCAAGATGCGATTGCGAAGATGGACGTGTATGCTAAGAATATTCTGGACTTCCTCAATGCTTGCAAGGTCCCCGAGGCTGACGACAAGACGAAGGTAGTCTCCCTCCCGAGCCTGGTAGGAGAGAAGCCCAGGAAGGAGGAGGACGTGGGAGGAAAGAGGAAGCGGGGTCAGGCGTCAAAGTTGGATTTCTCGCACCTGTCCACGTTTTCTAAGTCCTTCTCCGATGCCTGGCTGAGTTTCATGCGCTGCCACCTCCCCGACTCGACTTTCAAGAAGATCCTAGCTCGCCTCCACCTCCACATCCTCCCTCACCTCCACCAGCCCCTCCTGCTGGCAGATGTGCTTACAGAGTGTTATTCGCGAGGAGGGATAATCTCAGTCCTTGCCCTCCATGGCATCTTTCATCTGATCCAGGTGAGTGGGTCGTCATGTCTGTTAGAAGAGTTGTGTTCTTTTCTTGATGTTGTGGTTTTCTTGTTCATATTGGACTTTTTGTGTGTCCGAGTTTGTTAGTTTGACTTGTTGCTTTCTTGTCTGCAGAACAACAACTTGGAATACCCTGAATTCTACATCAAGCTGTATGCTTTGCTCGAACCGTCTATCTTCTATGTGAAATACAGGAATCTTGAAACATGTCTTCTTCTTGTAAAATGACGTGAAAGTGCAGGGCCAGAGTGTTGAGATTGACAGAAGATTGTCTTAAAACACCTCTTCTTCCTGCCTACGTCATCGCTGCTTTTGTAAAGAGGTGAGGAGAGGAGGAGCAAGAGGCGAAGGAGGAGCAGGAGGAGCAGATGCCGAGGAGAAGCAGGGAGCAGCAGCAGAGGAGGAGCAGGAGGAGCAGGAGGGTCACTGGAGCTGGACGGGAGGAGGAGGAGGAGGAGGAGGCGGGGGGCGACGAGCAGAGTAACGAGGAGCAGGATGATTAAGATTTCAATTTGTGCAGACTTGCTCGACTTGCATGTTGGAGTCCGACAACAGGAGCTTCAATCGCTCTGCCGATGATCTACAACTTACTAAGGTCTGATCCTGCTGCTCCTACACCTGCTCCTGCACCTGCTCCTGCACCTGCACCTGCACCTGCTCCTGCTCCTGCCCCTGCTTCCCATGGTCATCTTTCCCCTTATCCTCTTCCCCCTCCTCCTACTTCATTCCTGCTCCAGCTTCACAACCTCCAGCTGTTGTTCTCGCTACACCTTTCCTTCCTCCTTCCCTCGCTCGCCCACTCCCCTTCCTTCCCCTTCCTCCTCCTCTTCTCCTCAATCTTGCTGCAGGAAGCACCAGACTTGTCTCTTCCTCGTTCAGAGCGTCGGGGATGCGAAGAAAGCAGAAGACGCAGAGGAAGAAGAAAACTCTCCTCCCTCTCCCCACAACTTCACCAACGATCCTTATGACGTCCACGAACCTGATCCCAGCAAATGCAAAGCGATGCAGTCTTCGTTGTGGGAATTGCAGGTGATAGAGAGGATGATGTTGATGTTGATGTTGATGTTGATGTTGATGCTGATGCTGATGCTGATGTTGATGATGGAGATACAGATGATGGAGATGATGATGATGGGGATGAATTTCATGATTATCATTTCGATTTCTTCTGACACCTCGGCAGTTGTTGAAGAGACATTTCGTCCCAGACGTCTCCAAACTTGCTGGTGCGGTTCAGCTTTACGAGAGATGTCAATGTTGATATTGTTCACAGGAGTTTTTGATGATCCAATCACAAGGCAAAGGCCAGAGCTGTCACTCAGTGAAGTT